ATAATACATCGAACGCTTTATGAAACTGATATTTATTCTATATTATTAGAATTTTTTCTATTAGAAGAATATAAATTTATTATTCCTAATTGAAATGTATAGTGATTTAGTTAAATAGGCAATTTGTTATGTAGTAATATAAATTTGTGTTTGTTATTACATTCTATATACATCTATATATATATATATATATATATATATATATATATATATAGATAGATATATGAAATAATTATAATGAATTCGATTCAACTAATTCAGTGAGTAGGTTATAGTATAAAAATAAATGATCAAAGGAATAATTTGTAACTTTATAATAAATATTTCAAATAAGTTTAATGTAGAGGATTAAATGCAGAAATGAAAGTTTAAATAAAAGGAAAAGTCTCCATAAAAATTTCACCCTACGCAAGCTATATTCTGATAATAATTTTAATTTGCCCAAGAAATATTATTATTCATTATTTTCGTAAGCTATTATTTTGACATTATCGATAACTTTCTAATTAATATTGATAATAAAGTTTATTTGTGTTTTCTCTCTCTCTCTCTCTCTCTCTCTCTCTCTCTCTCTCTCAATATCTTTAAGAATTATGCATCTTTTCGTTATCTGTGTTTATTATCAATCTTCATTATCTCTCACATCGATAATTTAACATTACAATGAGACAATCTTAAAGTATTAAAAATTTGATGATTCAACGAATTAAATGAGATTCTATAATATAAATGTAGTAGCTATCATATAATAAATAATTTTGTATATCTGTGGGAGAAAATGTTGGTTAGGTCATGCAAAGTTTCATAAATCATTCGCTCACTTGACCGTTCAAAGACTATTTCGCCAATATTTTCCGACTATGTTTAGCATACAAACGTTTTGTTGTACTTATGAAACTATGTTCGACTGGCAAAAAGCATTGTAACATGGCAACTATACTCGGACTTTTCCGTAACAATCGGGCGATTGGAAATTTATCGAAAGTATACATTTAACAGGTAATAGCGGAAAATTTGTTTTACGACCTAATCTTCAGGGCTGGTAGCCCCGCTATTAAAGTGATGGATTTGCCGCGCTTGGGAAGGAATGCCAGTCAACGCCACGGAAAAAGAATAAAACAAGGGAAGATTTCAAGTTCAAGCTATTTCTAGATCATTTTATAATTAGTGCCACTGTTGTCACAGCCGAGCTACCGAGCTCCACCGACAAACGAGATGAAAAAGGGGAGTTGGACGAACGGATGACGGGCAGCAGCGGCGGCAGCGGCGGCAGCGGTTGGGCTTGGCCGCGGGGCGGGTAGAGGAAGGGAGTGTATCATACTACCTGTCGGCGGTGCGCGTTTAGCTCGGGAATGTCGCGACATGAATCATCTCCTCGACGCTTCCAGGAAGTCCAAGGGCTGATTGTGTGCGTCTTGTTACATTGTCTGGATCGTTTGAGATTCGATCGAGGAAAAATTTAGTTTCTCCTCCCTTCGCGTGTTTTTCTCTACATTTTGCAATGTGCCAGTAGATGGTACTTGTCGAATCTACTTAAAAACGTTCCCTCACTACCCGTAATTTTAATTCTAATCCGTGAAACATTCGATCATTCACATTCACCACTTTAACGTATAATAATTTTCAAATTGCAATTCTTTTATAGATCATCGTTATTTCGCATTGTTTTATAAAATTTATACTAAATGCTCATTTGACAATATTTTAATCAAAAAATATTTCAGACAGGAAACGTACTTTCAACTTGTCTTTAAATACGAAAAAGAAAATTATTTCATGACATTATCGTCCGTTACATGTTAATCGTCCACTAAAAATTAGATAAATAAACATAATCGTTTAGGTACTTGGTTGGTATAGGTAACGGTAAATGTATCGTACTTATCGTATCCAAAGTATAAGTAAATTATTAATCTTAATTTATAATTAAATGCAAGTTTTAAGGAAGACTCGTAAAATTTTAAAATGTTAAAAATGCCGAAACAGCGTTTTCTCAGCTAATCAATAACAAAGATAGAATATTGTAAAATCGATAATTTACATGGCTTTCGAGCCTGACATTAAAATCTTAAGCAATGTAGCAGCTCTTGGGATTACATCGTCTGGTATTGCTCGTTTTATTTAATTTACGATATTTTTTGATTTCTTGTTAATTTTTTTAATACTCTTTTTTTTTTTTTTTTTTTTTTTTTTATTTTTTTTTTCATCTCTTTTTTTTTTTAAAGTATATTTTTTTTTTTTTTTTTTTTTTTTTTTTTTTTTTAATTTTATTTTCATCTCGTTTTTATTCTAAAGTATAATTGTTGTTTTCTTATTTGTTTTTTTTTTTTTTTCAACGATACTGTTTACGTATTTCCTATTATTATTATATGAAATTATTAGTTTCTTTATTGTACAGTGTTAGGAATTCACTTTTTATCACGATATATTGACAGCGATTTGCATACAGTTGAAGTAATTGTTTTCAAATACGTATTTTCAAAGATTAGTATCGGAAAAATGTAAAATCATTTCGCCAATGGATGAGTAGAAGAGCTGGAGTATTAAAGTCAGTATTAAAATATTAAAATTGCACTTATATAAACAAGTTAAATAAAGAAAGACGGTACTTTGATAATGTACCTAGTGATTGGCTTGCAACAATATTGCCTCATATATTCCAAATATTCGGTCAATGTCTCTGAAATTTTGTCGACGGTTGAACGGTATTTCTCCCCAATCGTCATAACCAACTGATTACAATTTAATAACCAGCTTTACTGGTCGCTCCTCTCCTCGCTAAAGTACACATGATTTTATCAATAGAGTTTTCGCCGAGCGCATCGAGAGAAACGCCCGTAACACTGGGACGGCCCACGAATTTCTCGGTTTCTTCTATCTTGCTTTATTATCGGAACAGTGACACTGCTGTTGGGAATGTTTTTTCCTCTTTTTTTTTTTTTTTTTTTTTTTTTTTTTTTTTTTTATTACGTGCACACGTGCACGCGAACTGGCAAAGCGATAAAACTCGGTTTTATACGTAAAAATGCTGCTTTTTATTCTTTCATTTCATTACCGCATCACACTCGTTATGCAAGAACTGTTTATAAATGTCGCTTCTTGGAAAAAATTTATTTTTAGCACACAGGCTAAAAGTTATTGCGTATAGACTCGGCTGAACTTCTCGCACGATTGATCGACGATTATTGCGTTGTTGTTCGTTATTTAATTGTTTAATAACATAATGTTGGTATATTACTGGTAATACATATCGCTTATACAGAATTATATATTTAAATAAAGAAAAATTCTTTTACATCGTTAGATATGATTTAACATTGTTTTACTTTGGTCGATTAATGAAGCGATTACGAATTACGTTTCCTTATTATAGACTGACATTAAGAGAATATAAATTTATTTCTAATCAAATTCAATTCATTACGTAATTCATTAATACATTTTTTATTAAAAAATATGCTTATATTTGAAAAGGGATTTGTTAGTTTTAATAATATAATGATACAGCTTTTTTTTCTTTCTTTTCTTATTAACTTTTGAAAACAATCTGATTATTCTTAAAGCTATAATTGTATAATTACAAAAATATGTATTGAGGAAGTGAATATAAAAATTATTTACAAATTCAACGTTTCAAGAAATTTTCTATTTTTATAAATGTAATAAACATTTTCGTAATATCAAGACTTTTAATAAATTTTAAAGGAAACATAAATTAAATATAATAGTATAATCAATATACTCATTTCGCGTTAATCAATAATATAATATTACATTGAAAATTGTATATAATTTTTAAATAACTTAATTATAGTAAACAAAAATGTTACGTTTACGTTAGTTTTATACAAAAAAAAAAAAAAAAAAAAAAAAAAAAAAAAAAAAAAGAAAAAAAAAAGTGTATCAATATTTATTGAATATTTAAATAAATTGTATTGTTATTCAAACCGCTTCCTTATCGATATAATTAGTTGATGGAAATTCGGCTTTCTAATATTATACTAGAAATTACTTACTCTGTATAGAATACTGATTACGCATATTCTATTTTACACTAAATAGGCTAAATTATTTTTTATTTTATCTACGTTGCTTAAGGGAGCAACACCGATACATCTCATTATTACAGTTTAATTTTAATTTTATATCTATTTAAAAATATATGGAATTAAAAAAAAAAAAAAAAAAAAAAAAAAAATGATTCGAATCTTCTCAATTGCTCAATTTTCATATTTAACTATCAAACATTGATATGATGAAAGTTTTATAACAAATTGCTCTTCTATCGAAATATGTTTATCCCATTTAAAATGTGTATATATAAACAAATAAACCTACGATTGCAAAGTTAAATCATTAAATCAGTAATTACTATAAACGTTTATGAATTAAAACTTTTATTAATAGTTAATATATATATATATATATATATATATATATATATATATATATATATACATTATAAACTAATTAAGCCAACTATTGATTAATACTTTAGTAGTTTATAAATTCCTTATCAAGTCTTATTAATAGACCACGACAAGATTATTTTATGATAACATATTAAATATAGTATTATTGAAGAAAAACTATATATGATATTTATAAATATGAGATTTTCATCCTAACCTTGTTAACTGTTTATTAAAAAATATATGCATGTTTAATTACCCTTATGTATATATATATAAACTTGATGAGTAACAGTGTATCTATAAAAATTTCTGAAACGAAACATTTATATCATTTAATCTTAAATTTTTACCAGCATTACACCAATGCAAATTCGAAATATTTATAAACGCATTATCTACAATACTTTATTAATCACACGTGTAATAATGACAATTTTCTTAAGATAAATGGTGCAGCACAAAATTTTCTCTATTTAGAAATTTATCTATGATAAAACTAGCCATTGTAATATGCAATATATACCAAGAGGACAAGGATTTGCGCAATATATTTTTAAATCACTTACAAAAGTTCATTTGTTTCAGAAGACGTGGGGTATAGGAGCGTCGAAATCACGTCTGCCTTCACACATTTGCCACAAAAAGGTAAGTCTGTCGATAAAATTTGTAATAAGCATTTCGAAATATCAGATTTTATTAGCATAATAATTTAATGTCACCATAGTTCAATTGCCGCTCATTTGCATCATGAAAAGTCTTGCGAACATATGATGCTTCATTAATGTGTTATTAAACTGGTAAATTTTATTCATTTTAATTGCAACTTTGTAATAATATCGGTGAAAACATTTCAAGGTGTCCTTTCGTTAAGACGCCAAACGGTCGACTTTCTTCCCCTCTAGATTCGATCGATAGTATTAAAACGAGTCGATTGAATGTTCAGCCGATAACTCAACAATTAATTACTCGTTACAATTTACTATATATTACGGAACAAAAAAAAAAACAAAAAAAAAAAGAAAAAAGAAAAAAAAATACATCGCTTTTTTCAAATATTTGCTTAATATTTTCTAAAACATTACCACATATTATTGTTTGTTTGCCCCGATTCAACACCTTTTGTAATATCCAATAATTAATAAGCAATTATAATGTTGAATTATCAACATGTATGGACTGACCACTGCTCGTCGCTTGTAACCTTATATATTTGATTTTATGATCGGAGATCAATAATTGATTAGTCTATAACGTCTATTAAAGTGAATTTATGATTTATATTATATAAAGGAGACTGAGCATATACTATACTTACGAATAATCGATTCCCAGCAAATAATAAATCTTAATCGGCCACATTTGATAAATATTGTGCAAAACTGTAAAGATCTCAATTTGCAATATGATATACGACAGATTAAAAGAATCAAGTTAAAAGGTAAAATGAAGTTTAAAACCATTTTATAAGATGGTATATGCAAATATAAACATTCATTACGTTGTCTCATGTTCAAAAATATTAATATTAAATTTACTCCGACACGTATTACAATTTGAGATAAATCAATGTTGGCGCATATACTTTTCAATATACTATTTTCACGTATTTAAAATAAAGCTGTAGAGTACTTTTCTTATTTAAAAACAATTTTTTTATTATAAATAAATGATTCATTATTTTGAGTATGCAAATAATGATTAAAAATACATTATGTCAATATTACTTTAAAGCACTTTTATAGTTAAAAATACTTATCTGAGAGTCATAATGTATTTCTAATATTTATATTTGAATAAAAAGAAAGAAAAAAGGTCAGATAAAAATAATTATCATAATTTGTGTAATAAGTACTCGCTAATATTTGCATGGATTTTATCATGAATTATTATCAGCTATATTATTTAAAAATCCAATACAATCTTTTATCGATTTTACATTTATTGTTAATTAAATTAAACCGTTTTATCCTGTCACTTTTTTTTTCGTTTTTTTTTCTTCTTTTTTTGATTTTTGTTTTATGCCTGATGCATTAATAAAATACCTGCCGTAAATTGAAAAACAATTAAACTTTATTCTCATTTTTCGTGAAATAAAATCTATGGTAAAATTTTTTTCTAATTTTTTTAATGAAATTTGTCTGTGTATAAACACAAAACATAAATAGCCAAAAAGTTACTATTTATTTGGAAAATTATTTCCAACTATGATAAAATATTGTAGCCAACGCGTAACTTCCAATGACAATTTTTTTTTTTTTTTGTTTTTTGTTTTGTTTTTTGTTTTGTTTTTTGTTTTTTCTCCGAAACTTTTATGAAATTTCTAATCATTTCGACGCAAAAAGCATTAAAAAAACAATGGGTACTCGAATGTTGTGCATAAAAGTAGAAGTTAAAATACGTCTTACAATTATAACTTTTTCCGGCTTAGCTAAGAAGAATTGCGCATTAAAAAAAAAAAAAATACTTTATCCAATTGGAACGCTTGCGAGCTTAAATTTTTATCGAAGTAATAAGTAATGTTTCATTTATTTACGATCCAATTAAAAACATCATTACATATTTTTCGCATTCTAATATCGACATCTTTGTCAAAACGAGTATTCTACATTGAAGATAATTAAAAACAAAATAAAAACCAAAATTATCTTGACCGCGCTGTTTCCCATAATCCTCCTATAAATACGACCTCGCAAAACTACGGCAAAATAAAAAAGAAAAAAAAAGGAAAATGTCGAATCCGTGTGCGCACTTCTCCTTTATAAAATAAAAATAAAATAAAAATCGACCGTCCGTTTCTCCTCGACTCACGAATTCCACTTAACTTTTTTCCTCTTTATAATGTGCACCTCGATCCCGATATCAGTCCGCACGTGTGCCCCCCCCTCTCCACCTCCCCCTCCCACCTTCCTCACTCCCCCCTACCAGCGCCATCTCGAGCTCCCCACCCCACCCCACCCCACCCCACCCCACCCCACGTCAACCCCACTACCCATCCAACCCTCTTATCCCCTCCCCTGAACGGCGAATTGACACTCGTGGCATACGTGTACACTGTTAGGCGCGCCAACAGACAGGCCGTCACGAAAACACCAAAAGACGATCGCCGTCTTCTCGGATCACGATTTCGTGAGAACATCCGTACTAATCACGGCGCTTCTCCCACTCGCTTAACGCCTAACTGCGCTCCGCTATTGTCGCCCGGGGCCATAAGCCAACCTCAGTCGAGCCTTGGCTCCTGCTGCACGCGATCGTGCGCATCGTTCCCTTCTCGACACCTCCGTCGCCGCTCCCGCGTCCCCCCCCCCCCTCCCCTCCCCTCCCCACCCCTCTCCAAATTTAATAAGGGGGACCCTCGAACCGCTATACACCATTACACCTCCGGAGATCGATTCGACGGCCGTGTGTCCAGGACGCGAGTCCTCCTCGAACTTACGGGGCCGGCTCACAACTCACACGACTCACCAATAAATTCAACAATACAAACCCCGTCCCCGTGGCTATTTCCCATCATTCTCTCCCACCGCTCCGGGGCAATAATCCTCCCGGTCACTCGCTCGTTCCTTCATCAGCGGGATGCGTCCCTGAGGAGCGCCGAGGATGCGCGTCAGGTTGGAGCAGGGGAGGAGCAGCGCGTTCAGTCCGTATAGGCCGCCAGTCGCGTCCACGTCCAGCCAAAATTCCCAAGCCCAGTCGAAACTCATGCCCGGCTTGTGTTTGCTCTGCGTAGACATGGCGCGCGACACCCCGGGCTCGCCGATGTCGAGGTCCGCCCGCGAGCAGCTGGCCGCCGCGGCCGGAGCCACCGCCACCCTCACATCCGGCGCCTACCACGCGGCGGAGCACGCGGCGGCAGCGGCGGCAGCCGCCCTCCACGGCAACGCGCTCCAGCAGAAGATACTCGAGGTAATGTATACCGCTCGATTGGGGAGTTATTGGAGTCAATGGGCGGGGGATGGGGATGGGGTGGTGCTCCATCACCGGCTCGCACGACAATGCTTACCGATCGATCGATCGATCGATCCTGGTTCGCTCGGGCGTCACATTTCCTCGGCGTATGTCGAGCACCAGCTCAATTCTTAGCTCGGTACTCGTGATCTTGAGACTATTGTCGATCAGCGCTCGATCGCGATTACGAGCGATCGAGAGTCAGAGTCGAGCCAAGCTACGGGAGCATCTGGATTTTATAATGCCCATGTACATGGGAACAGTGTTGTTCATGGTGAATGGTAATCGAAGACGATCGAGGAAATGTAGCGTCCAAGAGCTATTGAAATAATAATAATAATAATAATAACAACAACAACAACAACAACAACAACAACAACAACAACAACGACGACGATAACGATAACGATAACGATAACGATAAAGATAACGATAACGATAACGATAACGATAACGATAATAATGGCGATGATAATGATAATGCTTTGGCGATTAGCGGTCTCGATTTTTCTCGATCGATCCATCAGCGCCGCGTCTCGTTCGACATTCTCGAAACGTGGCGGGAAATTCGCAACACCGTAAATCGAGATAATTCTCGCTAAAACTGCATGGTAAAATTAATTTAATAATTCGTTGCCGATATTACGTGGGCACTACATTAAGCTAATAATTGATTGTGACAAGTAGCAGACGGCAGATCTTGAAACACGTAGGTGCAATGAAATTGTACGAGTGGAAAGGTAGGTGTTTCGCCGCTCGTGTTGTTTGCCCATCGTCACGATATTATAATGTTACAATTACTCATGGAATATTCAGCATTTTTTATCGATCCTATTGCCGATACTTTCAATAATTGTACAATGATCTAATCGACTATCTAACTCATTACATCGATTGTGTCGCGCTAATTAATCGTATGCGAGCGATACGAGCCTTAATAACGTTTCATAAATTTCAATAAATTTTTTGGGATAATTTTAATTCCTGAAGAATCAGCCAGACGAGCGTCATTTTTAACTGGAAAATTTATTAATTACTAAGGAGGAGCCTTTATTACTGATCTCCGAAGGCGCTGAGGAATTAATTTATCTAACGATAAATTATTAAGCCTCGCGTTTATCTCGTCTAAATTCATCTAAAATCTACATTTGCTCGCTTTCAATTCAATGAACAAAGACGCTAATTGGATGTCCAAGGGGATGGTGAATACAAACCAATAGCGAATGCAATTGAAAGCCTCGATGTTATTAATAGAGCATGATTTATTGTTTATTTAAAGTCTTGAGATAATTGAAAAACTATAATAAAAGTAATGAAGAAAACGCTGTCGTGCTTTTGACGAAATTACGAAATGTAAAATACTATGATATATAAGATCTTCGGTTATTATCATTTTTATGTGTGTACAATTTACATTTTTACTCTTTTTATTTACGATTGTTTCGAATCGCTTCGGGCACGTACGTTGCTTAAATCAATATAAAGAATTAAAGAGAGAGAGAGAGGGGGGGGGATTAAAGATATTTATATGCAATCAAGTGTACAAATACTCAATTTCTATTGGAATTGGATGGTATTTTTTTGCAGAGCGCTGTTATCGCAAAAAATCTTGAATAAATTGATGACGCACGGACTTTCGTTGCGAGTGCTCGTTGAACTAGAAAAATTTCACATTGATAAATAACTAAGAAGAGCCAGATGAGATTAAAGCGCAACGTCAAACTTTTTCAAATAATTGCAAAAATTTTGTCACTACTAATTTCTCACTCGCATCGGCCCTGCCGAATGAAAACAATCTTTACCAAGTCATTTGTCGAGCCTCAATGGTTGCCGGCAAACGTTTTGTTTTTTTGTTTTTTTGTTTTATTTTTTTGTTTTTTGTTTTGTTTTGTTTTGTTTTGTTTTTTTTCTTTTTACGCGAGCAGTTAAGGCCGACTGAGTGAGTGTACGTGGCCAGCCAGGCGTGGCCAAAAAGAGAAAAATCTGCCAAACATTTCTAAATTATATCCGAGATATAGTTAGGCGCCTCCTCCCCTTATAGCCCAACTATAACCCAAGTTCAAGGCCACTTTTATCACCGGATGTTTCACAAGTGACAGAAGCCGAATGAACGGACCAGCCAAGACACATCAGATTTCTAAGTAGAAAACAATTTTGTCTTTTGTTACGTTCGTATTACCCTCTTAATATAAATATAATGCAGTGGTATATTTTCGAGAAGACGTGAAGTTAATATAAAACTTTAATGTATAGTATGTAATAAGAAATCAAGCATTCGCAAGCTTACAATTTTAAAGGCTTAAACTCTTAATAAAATACGTATAAACGACGCTTTTATTGGCTATTATTATTTAATAAAAGCCGTACTAATACATAAAGTGCATGTACGCGTAAACATTATTTATATAAACAGGCATAGAGTGTGGGAGGGTTGAGGTGTGTGTGTAACAAACGCTAGATATAGATAACCCTTAGGTTTAATTTAATTTCTAAAGTCTATAAATTTAATGAATTTAAAATCGCCTTTCGTCCAATAATTGAAATTTTCTTTCGCATTCGCCTTCGGTACTTCTAAATTTATCCGACAATACTATTAAATTAGAACATAATTCAATGTTAATATGATTAAATCGATATATTTCCAATGGCCCATTATCTAATACGGATTGTCCGACTTATCCCAACATTTCACATGAAATTATCATAGTTTTCAAAACAGCGTAAAATTTATATTGGAACGAGACTTTTGCCAACTTATTTCCAGCTCCTTAATGACATTATAATATAAAGTTAATTTTATTATACTATTAAGCTTTAATGCGTTTCATTAAAAATTGATTATGCTTCGTGTGAATAAATTCAGGGCGCAAATAGACTGTCGACAGGTTCTCCACGTAAATGGCAAAAACGTATGGGCAAATTTTGATTATTAGACGGGTGGAGCGGCGGCTTTTCATTTATGCCAAGATTGGTGATGTTGAGCCTTGATATCTTTTTTTTTTTTTTTTTTTTTTTTTTTTTTTTTTTTTTCGCTCATGGATTTGTAAATACGTACTTATTTCGCTTTATAAGGACGGACGCACCGTTCTTTATTTCAAGAGTCTTTCAAGAGCGAACCAACCTCGAGAGTCCGTCCTTATTTATTTGAAAAATGTCGACTCGATCGGATAGGAAGAAATGTGTTTGCTCAATAAATGTGCTCGTGGCAAAAGGGCCGATAGAATCAGGACTTTTAGTACTTGCTATCTCATTAACAGACGCTCAAATTGTCAAATCAACCTGGGCAATATATTGCAAGATCGATTAATTGTCTACTCATTGAAATTAATGTATTAATTTGCTTGTAAGATTACTTTCGGGCTCCATTGGTTTGATATCGACAATTGTAATTAATGTCTAATGATAGACGAGTAGGTTTGTCGTTTCTATCGTGCTTTGGTAATAATGAAATCGTAATAACGATAATGAATGTTAAGTAAAAGACCTCTCGCTCTAATGCAGCTCGTGCAATTACTGCGCGCATTATAAAGCAAAATCTTAGGCGGTGGATGAAAAGCTCGGCGGCATGGAAAATGGAATGGGAAAAGACGTTGAAAGAATAGCCGTTGGCCTCTATCGCTTACTCTTTTCGGGGCAAACTTTTCACATTCGTTCCCATTGCAGATATCCAATCTCAATTAAAGTCAAATGTACTTGCACGTTGAAATTCATATCCGTGGATTATTTTACATTATGTTGGTAACGATGATTTTTTTTTTTTTTTTTTTTTTTTTTTTTTTTTTATCTTTCTAGGGCTAAGAGGGCTGCCGTCTTTCATACGAAATATGTTTGAATTCTTAAAGTTCTCGTTTAAGAATTTATGATTGAATTAGCGATGAAAAATTGTTCAATATATTGAAAATATCAATATCAGGAAGAATTCAAGTCGAGAACAATGTACTCGTGAAACATCAATGATATTATCCTTGATATACAACGAGGTATCTCCACGTCTCTTTATTATAATAACTTTTAGCGTAATTTTCATTCGTACGTCTTTAAATGTCGACTTTAAATGGAAAATATTTATTCGATAATGGGCAGACCCGGTACGACTCTTTCATTCATTCTCCATTACCGAAATCATTTAGATTTGCCACTTTGCCATTTAGTTGAAGCACTGGCTGATCGTCTGTAAAATACTCAACAGCAACGCGAATGATGAATAACTTTTTCTTCAAGCTTAATAACAAGAAATAGATCACACTTTGTTCAATGCTAATGGCATATTCGATGGATTATTCATGATTAATATACCTTAAGGAAGATATGATGTTGAGCAAACTCTTAGAAATTAAAAAATTAATTATCAAACGTAAAATGACATTTCAATTTTCTTTATTAAAATAATCAATACAATAACAATTAACTTATTCGCAAATTAAAGTTGACGTATTAAACATTTCTAATATTGAAGAGTATAAAAAGTTCTGACAATAACCAAAAGCTTGTATTTTCAATGTAAAGAAAAAGGAAAAAAAAAAAAAAAAAAAAAAAAAAAAAAACACCACTGTAAAGTTATGTTTCTCTTAAAAATTAGGCCTACAAGGTAGGAGTTATATAGCTATCGCCGTTATTTTATAATCTGATATCTTGCTATAATTCCAATGGCTGCTGATATAAGGAGCAATTTGATAAAGATCATCATCTTATAAACGAAGAAGTCGGATTTATTTCGTGATAATATTGAACAACGCTCTTTGTATATTTCGATACGTTGAGTCGCAGTGGATTCGACGATATTGGAACGGTCATCGGGTGGTGACAACTTAATCTAAAAATATCAATACGTAATGAAGTTATATTAATGCTTTGGTTTTTTGTCTTTTCGTTTCTTTTTCGTCTGTGTTTTTAATAATATTACTGTGTACGTCCGAGTCTTAGTATTACGTCACCACATTACGCGTTCACGTGGATGA